GCAAGTGAGCCATTCTTGTGAAATATTGACAGAAACGTGCATTCAAATGTGAATTTTGAAGTCAAAGCGATTTCGGCCACTTTTTCACTAAATTTAACATATTTTTAGTCATTATATCAAAACCTAGTGTGGAGCAATTTTGCATGTATTGTGAAATATAATGTACCTGATATTACATACCTACCATGGGATACTAGCTAATACCAAAAAATTAAACCTAAAACCTAAAATGTTCAAAATCTAAGTTTTGTTCAAAATTAGGGGGTATGGTTGAACTTTGCCAAGATATGTGCCACAAACAACCACCATATTACAAAGTAATGATATATTCCAATGCAGTGGGTCCTTGTGAAGTTTTTGATGGGTAATATGTTACTCTGGGAGTTTTCATTTGTGAATTATTGACAGAAACGTGCAATGTGAATTTTGAAGTCAAAGCGATTTCGGCCACTTTTTCACTAAATTTAACATATTTTTAGTCATTATATCAAAAGCATGTATTGTGAAATATAATGTACCTGATATTACATACCTACCATGGGATACTAGCTAATACCAAAAAATTAAACCTAAAACCTAAAATGTTCAAAATCTATGTTTTGTTCGCAACTATCAAAATTAGGGGGTATGGTTGAACTTTGCCAAGATATGTGCCACAAACAACCACCATATTACAAAGTAATGATATATTCCAATGCAGTGGGTCCTTGTGAAGTTTTTGATGGGTAATATGTTACTCTGGGAGTTTTCATTTGTGAATTATTGACAGAAACGTGCAATGTGAATTTTGAAGTCAAAGCGATTTCTGCCACTTTTTCACTAAAGTTAACATATTTTTGGTCATTATATCAAAATTTTGACAAATAACCCCACAAATGTTTTATATTGCTATTACTATATTAGTTGGCATCCAGTAGGCAAATTATTGGCACTATGTAGTCCTTAACAAAATATTTATTTCAATTTTACCAAATATCACATATTTTGGCAAAGCGAAGAAGCGGTATTATACTATTTCGAGTGATAACACAGAGATGGCCGAGAGTTATACACTGCTATCACATTTTTTTCGTATCTAGGGACATATATCTTGCTAAAAATCACAATGAGCCTTACTCCATCTGTATGGTACCGACCAACCCCCTTGGCTCATAGCCTATATGGGAGAGGTTTGAACGTCCTATTTTGGAGCACGCCAGTCGACCTACTTTCGAGCCACGTCTACTTTTTGGCAAAAATGGAAATGGCCATAAGTCAGTTCAGGTACAACGAATTTTGCTCATTTCTGGTTTGTGAATGAATGAGGACTGGCCCCCAAAACATATCACACGGGTTTTGATTTTTTTTTAATTATGCAAATTAGGTAGATTTTAGCAATTTCACTATGCATTTCAGTGTCTGCCTACGGTCAACTCAAGAACCGTTTGACCCAAATGTTTCAAATTGCATACAGTTGTTACTCCTATTGGAGAGGTTTGAACGTCATATTTTGGAGCATGCCAGTCGACCTATTTTAGAGCCACGTCCACTTTTTGGCAAAAATGAAAATGGCCTAGATTCATTCGATTTTGTTAAATTTTGGTATATGACTGTGTAAGGCTAGCCCCAAAACAGTTGTTACTCTTATGGGAGAGATGACAACGTCCTATTACGTTTATTTCATCTAACTGGTTAACAACTCTACAATCATACCTATATATATATATATATATACGTGTAATATTCTGTTTTAGATTCTTCGTTACAGTAATTTTACTGGAATTGTTAGGGTTAGGGAGTAGGCGTAGGTGACTCCCTAGACTCGTTAGTGGAGTAGGCGAGGTACGGTCCGGCATATTAGATAGTACCAGGGTACGTTCCGATATATCGAATCGTACCCAGGGTACCCTGCGATAGTACCCTGGGGGACATGGACCCTCTCAGCTTAACTACCAGCTTATTATCAATGGCTGTCAGTCATGTCAGTGGTGTTTCGTCTTAATGTTGCATCGTATACTAGTTTATTTGTTTGCTAACCACCGCAGAACGCAGAGGAGGAGTTTGTATGCCTGGCCGTGTACCTAGGTCTGTGCACTCAGTCAAGTGTTGACGTAGATGTGAGTTGCATGTCTATGATGCAGTGGACGTATAACAAACCACCATACACAATAAGGAATTGGTGCCATCAGTTCAACTCCTTTGTTAACAAGAATCCAAGCGCAGGAAAGGTATGTTGGAGTGTAGAACGTTTTCTGACAATTACCATGCAGTGCAAGTTAATGTGCTTCTGAATTATTCTGTTCAATATAATTGGTAATGGTATTAATATGGGTGTAATAGCATCTAGGTTTCATAGCTTATTATGTTTTTATTTATTACTCGTTGCTGCTGGTGCATGTAACAAATGAAGTAAATAAGTAGATATACTTCCAAATGATTGAGCTGCGTATAAAGGTAGCATAGTAATTGAATGGTGTTATACTACTTGTCATGGAATCTATGTACCAGAAATTGTCTTGTCTTATTTCTTAATTTTCTTTACCATTTTTTCTCAGAAAACCATCAAACCAGACCTGATGCATAACAGTGTACTTAATATTTATAAGCTCCTTATAAATTATTTGTAATTGAGTTGAGTACCTTTGCCTGGTGTTGATATAGCATGTTATCTGCAGGCATGAGAATTTTCCGCTAATTCGTGGATTTTCGATTTTGGTTTTCATTATAGTCGTTCTTGAGATTGATGCAAAAAACTAATAAAAAGCTTCGGGGGGTAATACGGAATTTTTTGGTCAAAATGTAGCTCGCCTTGACATCGTCAAGATGAGCTATTGCCATGGGGTGTCGTCCGTCGTACGTCCGTTCGTCCGTCAACATTTGGCTACGGTCAACAATAACTCAAGAACCGTTTGATTCACATGTTTCAAATTGCATATAGTTGTTACTCCTACGGGAGAGGTTTGAACGTCCTATTTTGGAGCACGCCAGTCGACCTACTTTCGAGCCACGTCCACTTTTTGGCTAAAATGGAAATGGCCATAAGTCAGTTCAGGTTCAACAGATTTTGCTCATTTCTGGTATGTGAAGGAATGAGGACTGGCCCCAAAACATATCACACAGGTTTTTATTTTTATTATGCAAATTAGGTAGATTTTGGAAATTTCACTATGCATTTCAGTGTCTGCCTACGGTCAACTAAACTCAAGAACCGTTTGACCCAAATGTTTCAAATTGCATACAGTTGTTACTCCTATTAGGCTATGAGCCAGACCCCCCAAATTGACCAGTTGGTACCATACAGATGGAGTAAGGCTCATTGTGATTTTTAGCAAGATATATATCCCTAGATATGAAAAAAATGTGATAGCAGTGTATAACTCTCGGCCATCTCTGTGTTATCACTCGAAATAGTGCTTTGCCTTCTTCGCTTCGCCAAAATATGTGATATTTGGTAAAATGAAATTAAATATTTTGTTAAGACTACATAGTGCCAATAATTTGCCTACTGGATGGCAACTAATATAGTAATACGCAATATAAAACATTTGTGGGGTTATTTGTCAAAAATTTTGATATAATGACCAAAAATATGTTAACTTTAGTGAAAAAAGTGGCAGAAATCGCTTTGACTTTGACTTTCGACTACCCCCTAATTTTGATATTTGGGAACAAAACTTAGATTTTGAACATTTTAGGTTTTAGGTTTAATTTTTGGTATTAGCTAGTATCCCATGGTAGGTATGTAACATCAGGTACATTATATTTCACAATACATGCAAAATTGCTCCACACTAGGTTTATCATAATTATGTTATCATTAAATGATCTCCCGATTAAATACGCCTTGTTAATTTATACATTGTTAGTACCCAGTCAATTTTTAACACGCCTTGTTATATTATACATTTTATTACCAGTTAATTTTTAACACAATTGAACAGATTACAGGCATTGAAATTAAACACATACTAACTAATGCTTACGTCTGAAAAAACATCACGAAAGTGTCCTTTTAGATGCCCGCAGATATTTGCTCAGAATCCGTATTCTTGCTCCTCGTTCAGATGAATCATCTTCTGCGGAGGCTGTCGTGTCTGACCCGTCAGACAATGGCTGATTGTCGCAGACAGCAAGTTTACCATGTCTGTACATTTTCAGTCCACTGCAATGCAGACACAATTTGGTAGCTTGCAGCTCCTGGAACAATTACAGGCCAACAAATCCAGAAGAGCCTGAGGTGCTGGCTGTCCACTCATCCAGTCCACAGCCAGAGTTGTTTCATCCTGATCATCCCATTTCCATCCCTTTCCAACTGGGCTGGGCGTCATTGTGTGCCTCTGAAGGCTTCGTTTCCAAATTGCTGCCTGGTAATTGGCTCGCTGTACGTGTTTTCGGAAGCAGTCATTGCATGGAGGCAATTGGGGCCTCTCAATCTCCCCCTTCTGCCACAGAATAGATGGTATCGAAGGCTATTAAGTTCCTTTGTACCAAACCTGGATGCATATAGGAGGCATGTGATTATTCTCCAGCTTATCCATAAGCTCATCGCGCCACATTCCATTCTTGTCCCAACTCGGCGAAGTTTCTTGGACCTCGTTTGCTAGACCTAAGCATTTTTAGCGCTCCTAGTTTGCCTTTGCCTGCAAATGTGCTGACAGTGTTGCAACCTGTGTAAGCATGCATCCTATAAATCCATGACAAACATCTGCCGCCACTGAAGCTGCAATTTTGGTAATGTCAATGATTCGTTTCCGATCTTTGTGCACATTTCTGGAACAATGGTTGATTGAATTGAGTATGAAACGCCAACGCCATGTCGATAATACGTCGGTGTCATCGGAGCTGATTACAACTGCTGGATATCCAGTCTGTGCAGCATGAGCAGCGTGAAGTAAAGAGTCGACCATCTGCTTCCTCGTGTGTACTTTGCGAAGCTCAAGCACCTCCTCGGTCCTTCCGTGGTGATTTCTGTAACACTGTGTTCAGTTGTACAAATAAGACCTTTCATTCAGACGCTTTGGTGTAATCTGGTTTCCTCCATTCGCTCACCAGAAATGAAATGAGGTAGACTTATTCCAACATGGCAAGAAGCTTCCCATTGCCTACAATTTGCTACTGCGGATGTTCTGAAGCTTCAGGCCAAGTTCCTCTCCTCTGGCGAGCCTTTCACAGTTCTTGATGGATGTATCTTTGTAGGTGTCGAAGACGATGTCGATCCTGTCACTAGTGCTGCCATCATTCCAGTGCCATGCACAAACAAACTGGGCAATTTCCTCAAAGTTGACTTGATCCCCCCCCTTTCACCTTCTGGATTATGCTCATTCCATCTATTATGGTTGCAGAATGATCAGGAAGTTTGTCAAGCTGGGCGCATTCTTTTGTAGATAACTAGCAAGAGCAGCCTTGTTGTTTTACAGTGAAGACCTTCTGGGGTTGCCAGTGCCATGGTAATAGACAAGCAGGATTGGATAGTACATCAGCCATTTGCCAGATTTCGTCCCTGTGCCATCCACAATGATGCAACCAAACAATGCTCTGTCACCTTAAGAATCACGGATCTTGCCACTCATCGGACTTTTTTCTTCTTGCATAAATTGCTGAAGTCTTCAGTTTGTTCATTTTCATGGATCATGAAAGCGTTTGTTGGTGGGTCCGTCTCGAGCCTCTCAGCCTTTGAAGTCAGTGTAGCATTTAACTCCAATGTCTCTGCATTCTTCAATCCGAGCAGATATCTTTGGGGGCTTTTTTGCTGTCGAGATACTGATAAGTCTTAACTTAACTTAACTTAACTTAAACTCTTAACTTTAATGATCTGATTATTAAGTTAATAATTCTATTAAAAGTTAAATGATACATTTTTCCTGGGGCATCCTCATCTTTCCTCACACGCCGTCTTGTGGCAGGTCAGCATGTGGAACATTTGATCCATCTTCATGTACCATTTCCTCATCTGACCAAGAAAGGCCTCCTGTGTTCTGCAGTAATGTATAGCACTTGACTGCCTTCTGATTTCAGACTAAACCTTGTTGTGCCTCCTGGAGTCTGTGTGCCTTGTCACAGTGACTTCAGTCGTTTGGTTAACGGAATGCGTCCAAATGTATTGTGACAGGAGGTTGAACAGAGAACAAACCACTCAAGAAAGCCTGCGTACACAGCTCGGATGATTGGCTGCCAGATTGGTCATCTCAGTAATCAAAATCTGTCGTATGCAAAACACCAGGGGATCATGTGTGGATAGCAAAGAGATGCAAGACCCAATTTCCTTCTTGAGCAGCACGCAGCAGGGCAAGCAAGACGTTTTCAACTATGTCCACATAAAGCATCCAAAAGGCTGAGAGTCTCCGTTGTCATGGCGAAGATAGTCTAAGAATTCGTTCCAGGTGGTGACTAACTCCGTGTAATTTGGCGTTTGCCAGAAGACTGTCAAATTTCTGTTGTCACAAATGTTCGACCAAAATCACTCACCTTCGTTCTACACAGGACGTTATGTTTGTGCTTTTCTTCTGGTTTTTTGTTTCAACCCATGGAATGAATGCCTTCCATGCTAGCTCATGAATGCTTCATACACAAACTTGTGCACATACACTGCTCGGTTGTAGCATTCTTCCAGAAAAACACACTGGCAGTGAGCTTCTTGTGAAATATGACAGAAAGCGTGCCAATGTGAATTTTGAAGTCAAAGCAATTTCGGCCATCTTTTCACTAAATGTAACATATTTTTAGTCATTATATCAAAAGCATGTATTGTGAAATATAATGTACCTGATATTACATACCTACCATGGGATACTAGCTAATACCAAAAAAATTAAACGCTAAAACCTAAAAGTTCAAAATCTATGTTTTGTTCCCAAATATCAAATTAGGGGGTATGGTTGAACTTGCCAAGATATGTGCCACAAACAACCACCATATTACAAAGTAATGATATATTCCAATGCAGTGGGTCCTTGTGAAGTTTTTTGATGGGTAATATGTTACTCTGGGAGTTTTTATTTCGTGAATTATTACAGAAACGTGCAATGTGAATTTTGAAGTCAAAGCCGATTTCGGCGCCATTTTTCACTAAATTTAACATATTTTTAGTCATTATATCAAAAATAATTTTGACAAATAACCCCACAAAATGTTTTATATTGCTATTACTATATTAGTTGGCATTCAGTAGGCAAATTATTGGCACTATGTAGTCCTCTACAAAATATTTATTTCAATTTACCAAATATCACATATTTTGGCACAGCGAAGAAGCGGTTTATACTATTTCGAGTGATAACACAGAGATGGCGAGATTATACACTGCTCATCACATTTTTTTCGTATCTAGGGACATATATCTTGCTAAAAATCACAATGAGCCTTACTCCATCTGTATGGTACGACCAACCCCTTGGCTCATAGCCTATATGGGCAGAGGTTTGAACGTCCTATTTGGAGCACGCCAGTCGACTACTTCGAGCACGTCTACTTTTTGGCAAAAATGGAAATGGCCATAAGTCAGTTCAGGGTACAACGAATTTTGCTCATTTCTGGTTTGTGAATGAATGAGGACTGGCCCCCAAAACATATCACACCGTGTTGTGATTTTTTTTTTAATTATGCAAATTAGGTAGATTTTAGCAATTTCACTATGCATTTCAGTGTCTGCTACGGTCAACTCAAGAACCGTTTGACCCAAAATGTTTCAAATTGCATACAGTTGTTACTCCTATTGAGAGGTTTGAACGTCATATTTTGGAGCATGCCAGTCGACCTATTTTAGAGCCACGTCCACTTTTTGGCAAAAATGAAAATGGCCTAGATTTCATTCGATTTTAAATTTTGGTATATGACTGTGTAAGGCTAGCCCCAAAACAGTTGTTACTCTTATTGGAGAGATGACAACGTCCTATTACGTTTATTTCATCTAACTGTGTTAACAACTCTACAATCATACCTATATATATATATATATATACGTGTAATATTCTGTTTTAGATTCTTCGTTACAGTAATTTTACTGGAATATTTTATTGTTTTTATTTGCGCGATATTCGAAAACCAAAATGGCGATCATTTAGGTGTAGCATCATTTCTCGTCAAGATTTCAGACTTTCAGTTCTGAAACATTTTATTTTCGCCAAAACTTATGCATATAACATTATCAAGAGTATATAATGGGAGATATGCTATATACTCTTGCTTTCTATATCCCCCCCCTCCCCCTTCTATCACACCCAAGATGTGCTACAGTGTCATTGACACTTTCATTAATTTAAACTTCATAAAAAGTCAGGAAAAGTACGTCAAATTTCACACAGAAGTAACAGAACTCCAGATAAATATCGTGGTGTATCTATGTAATGTAAATTATGGCATGCCACAACCACACAAAACACAAAAACCGCCACATAAAACATTGAAATTTTTATAGAAAATGACAAGACTTTGAATTGTTAGTCACGAAATTGCGTCTTTTACTAAGAACAGAATGGATGGATTCTGGGAATTTTCCCAGAATGCATGGAAATGGCCTATCTGCCTTCTAATTTCAAAATTTCCTGGGGGCCATTCCTCAGATCCCCTAGCAGGACAGTGTGCTACGCACACTGTTATCGTGAGTGGTGGTGTATCTATGTAATGTAAATTATGGCATGCCACAACCACACAAAACACAAAAACCGCCACATAAAACATTGAAATTTTTATAGAAAATGACAAGACTTTGAATTGTTAGTCACGAAATTGGTCTTTTACTAAGAACAGAATGGATGGATTCTGGGAATTTTTCCCAGAATGCATGGAAATGGCCTATCTGCCCTTCTAAATTTCAAAATTTCCTGGGGGGCCATTCCCTCAGACTCCCCTAGCAGGACAGTGTGCTACGCACACTGTTATCGTGACTCCGATAAATTGAAATATTTTCTCCAAAAACATCTCAACCTGTTCTCATGCCTGTATCTGTCTGTGTAGAGCCTGATGCTGCGCAGGTTTGCCTGGTGCCTCCCTGCATTATTGCGCCTGCCAAACGAGTACGACAAGATCTTCACCTACTATCGCACGAAGCAGTGCTACAAGTGTAGCTCGGTGCCGAAAGAGCCCGCCGTGTGTCTCATATGTGGCATGTTCGTCTGCATGAGGGACAAGTGTTGCAAGCAGCAATCTGCAATGGAGTGTGTCCAGGTGAGCCAACTCATGTGTGAACCACCGTACTTCACGAGTATAACTATATATATATATATATATAACAGAATATTATATATGATAAAATCAGGGGACCATCAAGAGGGCAATGAAATGTAGCATTTAGTTTGGTTACATGTATTAAACGTCGTCGTGAAAATAATGCTAAAAATAGTGTTTTTCTGCCCGAGTGTGTTTTAGTTCTCGGCCATGTTATGTACAGAGGAATTTGTTAACCTACAGAAACGAAATTTAAGTAAGGCACTATGTTGCACGTTTTTCACAGCACTCTGTAGACTGTGGAGCAGGCACTGGTGTGTTCCTTGCGATCAACTCTTCTCTAGTCATTGTGATCAGTGGTGCTCGTGCTGGCATCTGGGGATCAGTGTACCTGGATAGCTTTGGTGAAGAGGACAGAGACTTGAGGTATGTTTTATACAGAGGAGAAAGCTCAATATTAAGTAAGAGTGTTTGTGGCTGGTCACACACCTGCTATAATTGTATGTTTACAACTTGGACCATTGTTCTAGTGCAAAAGTGATCTTTATGTCAAATAAAATTAAAGCTACGATAGTTACTGTTAATTTGTGATGGGCTTGATCAATAGTCGATGCTGTTGGTGTATGAATGTGATTTATTGAATGATTATTTGTCAGACGAGGCAAGCCACTCTATCTGAGTGATGTAAGGTACAGACTCCTAGAGCAACAGTGGATCAACCACAGCTTCGATCGAACTGTGAAGAAGTGGATCTGGCACAGGGACAACCTTTGAAATCCATGCACGTGACCACATTGCTTGCATCCATGTCGGAGATCAGGACAGAGCACAGTATCGATGAACTGATACAATTTTAGTGAAAATGTAAACATGTAAAGTTGTTAATGTACAGCCATTAAAAGGTTTGTGTGATGCTAGAGCAAGAGCAATTTTTCGTTCACTGTGCAGTGTCAACAATTTTCTTACATTAATCCATCGTCACAGTAAATAATACTCTTCCAAACTATCTAAATAACCTGGTCACGTAATAGTGGTGTGATGCAAAATATTACTAGGATGTTAAAATGATATAGTTACACTTTGTTTTCACTATAGATGGCGTGGTTGTCATCTATCACAGCATACGGTTCAATTATTCTTACCCTTCATGAAGAAAGTTATCTGGAAATATATCATTATCCCGTTGATGACGTTATGTATATTATAATACATGCATAATGTATATTGTAGTGTTTGCTAGATGTCTTTCATAGTGAAAGATTCTCTTATAAGCACAAGTTAATCTACTTGTCTCCATCTAGTTCCACAGTTTTCTGTAATGGAAACAGTGACACTGGCAGTAACAAAAATGGAAAGACATTCATTGTATCAGCGATTTCCCACTCAGCATTATGGGAATTAATACCGTCAGTTTTATTAAAAAGACTTAGTAGACTTACTGAATTTACTGGAGGAGTAAGTAGAATGTGGCGTTTCCGATTCAACATTATCAATAGATACTGTTTTTCCTATCACAGCATGTGCTGAAATGATCGGCTTGGGTTGCGTCGTTTTTTCATCCGCATATGTATAGAGTGTATTCACGTTACTGCTTAATCCCACATAACGTTATCGCATGTACATAGACGACCCACTGAAGTGTCATTGGGAGAAGGATGTTTACTATATGCGCGTACTATGCACTGCATATGACAATTATGTTTAATATTATTGTCCACCTTCCGAAATAGTGTGATGTGATATTTATAATATACAGAGCAGGATAACTATCATTTTTGCCGTTTTTGTTTTAACTATGATGACTGTTGTTCTTTGAAAGAAGTATGGAAATGGAAGTAGCTGATGAGTTTCTCTGCAGATATCCTGCACACGGTTGAATTTGTAATCGTTGCTATTCTGGAGTAAATTTAAAATGCGTTAGGAAATGATAGGCAGGGGTGTGTTGTACAGGCGCACCTACGTTTTATTCTTATAGATGGTACGAATTAAAGATGAAATTACTATAACTGGTCTAACGGTCAACGGTCAATTTCAAAACCAGTGGCGTGGCGTTTACCGTAATACTCTTATCAGATCACACAGAAGTGCTCTTTTGTATATTAGATGGAGATGGGACTCCTTTCTTTCTCAGTCCAACGCAATTTTATATAAGACGACGAGAATTTTTAGCCAGTACCTTATAGCACTCATAATCGTGTTCCTATAAAATGGAATTCAACGATAGGTGTTTGTGACGTTGCTGATTGCTTTTTTCACCTTCTGAACACGCCGAGATTACAGTTGTCGTGGGTGTTTGCTGTGCTAACCGGCGTGTGATATTTCTGTATGTTCATCGAGTGCATGTGAACATCCACATAGCCTAAAGATTAGAGAAAGGAAGAGGGAGCGATACGTTGCACATTGGTGTATATATTCACGTGATGCGATGGGTTTTATTCTGGAATGAGCTAGTGTAATAGTGGGAATAATTGCAGTACAGTTCCTCAATTCTTGTGACACCCTATTTTATAGGTGGCAATCGTGAAGTAAAATTTTCTGTAGATGTGACGTGATCACGTAATTTCAGTCTGAGATACGTAAATATCAATTATATATTGTTTTAAACATCAATATAGATTTGATAACTTACTTATCATATTCGCGCGGGAAATAAGCATCAGATGGAAAACGTCAAAACAAAAATGCCACCCTGCAGCATTTAAATGGCAACCAAGTTCTCATTATTCCGATTTCACTCACAAGCGTTAATATACCACTTGCCAGTTATTATAACTTAATAAGCTATAATTTATTATAATTACCTATATATATATATATATATATATATATATA